TATGATCGAAGATGGCAGCTTGTATTGTACATTTAAGTGCAATTTCTTCTACCAAGACAATATTGCTAGGGCTAAAATAATTTAAAGAATGTCCATCTCATCGTAATTGAAGAACTCTAAAGTCAGTCTTACCGAAGTCAAATTTTCAAACTTCGCCATTTTCTCGTGTATTTGTACGTATAGTCCAGGTTTAGCCCAATGCCAAGGAGTAGTTTATCTATCTAGTTGCCACCATCCTCGTGCAAAATTTTTTTTTCAAATGCTTTGTATAGTTGCTCATTGTGCGACATTGCATGACAGTTACACAAATAATACTGAAAATTTGTGTAGTAGCTAGCTAAATTGTGTCAACGAGAAGATGCGTTTCAAATTTTATGTTTCTATAATTTTGTTCAGCATAGCCAATGACATGATCAATCGTACTATCACACAGTAGTGTTTGACCCACAGTAGTTTTCTGGACTTATGATCTTAAAGGCCCTAGCAACTAAGCGATTGCACCTTGCATTAGTCCTATTCAAAGTAATACTTAGTTGAGTTAGGTTCCTTTTGCAACTTAGTCGAGGTTTTGGAAAGTTAAGCTGTAGCCGTTTCATCTTCTACAGAATTTTCATGGCTTATAGAAGTTGCAAATGTTCACTTGATGCCCACTAGTGTTCATCTTGTTGTATCTTATTAACTGAATGATGCCTTTCACGACTTCAGCAGTGATTTCTCCTTCCAGAGACTACATGTGCTCTGTATTAATGCCTTCATAAATTCTAGAGATATGGAGCTCCATTTTGCATACTTATAATGAAGATAATTGTGTTAACGCAAATATAATCATTGTAGGTATTCTTTAAAATGAAGATGATGGTGGTAGAAAATTTAATTAAGATGCTATTCAATCAAGCATTGCAAAGTAAACATTTAATACCCCAATTTTCCCCCCTGAAAAATGGAGTCTCTACAAGTAAAAAATGCTCGGTCATGATATTGTCAGTGAAGAGTCTTAGGTAAAATTACAGCGTTTGGTCTGTCATCCATGGTTGATAAATTTTCACCCTGATATTCTGAGTAATTCCAATCACTTGTACTTATTTGCTGGTAGGATTGCTTCTTTCGATTTATTTATGCTAGGAACTGTTCATAATTATAAAATTCTAATTCCAACTTAGTGTTAAAAGAGGATGGGGAAATATGATCTGATTTCATCTTTATTTTCTAGAATAATCAAAATATCCACTTTATTAAGGTTGAGAGTCAGAGATTCATAGCTGGTTGGGGGAAAAGAAAGAGGGACAAGAAAATTCAATTATTTCTGTCTTTGGTTTTTCTAACTAACATGTCTCTGCCCCATTAACATCCCTGGGGATGTTCCTAATCCATTTGGATTGAGATAAACTTAGGGTTCATAATAATATTTTGCTTGCACTCTCTTAAGTAGTGTTTGGGAGTTTTTTAAGGGATGAAATGGAATGAAGTGTGATGGCTAAAAGTATTATACCATTGTTTGCGAGAAATTTTTAAAAGGAAATGTAATGGATTGAAGTGGCCTTCCATGCCATCCTAAACCCATTTTTTCTGGCCCCCCAATTTTGGGGTCGAGGTTGGAATGGCATGACATAATTAACATTATTACAAAATGACCCTCATTTTTCTCACCCCTTCTCACTCTTTCATTTCTCCTGTCGTAAAGTTGAAAAACATAATTATATCTAGTTTAAATTTATTAATTTTATAATTATTCTTAAATGATGATCAATAAAATCATTTATTTCTTTAATAGAACTCTCAAACAATGGAATGTTTTGTTCCGTTCCACTCTTTCCCACTCCACCCTTAGTCCATTTCACCAATGACCATTCTTTTCCATTTCATCTTGTACTCTCAACATCACTTAAGTCCTATAGACATCTAACTCGGAATAATTTACAGCCTGTATGTTTCATGTCCAAAGCTTAAAATTTTCTTGTTGCACAGGATGTATACATAATTAAATTAAGCTTATACTCTTTTGACCTTCATTTTACTTAAGACTCTTTATAGGTTTGAGATTTTTGGGTCGTTCACTTGTTGGGGGTCCTTTTTTATTTTTTGATTAATTTCATAATGTACTCAAAGGGAAGAGCAATGACAAAAAAAAAAATGCTATGTTTGTAAGATCGCCTCTTTTAATTTTAGCTTAGGCATTACCCGAGAGAGTGTTTCCTAAATCTGACATACCCTGCGTCTAAATTAACTCGCGATAAATATCCCTTGGATGTAACGTTAGAATTCAACATAAGGGATTTCAGTGTTATCCTCAAAGCTATGTAAATTTTTGCACCCAATTAACAAATAACTTTAGTGAGGACCTTTAATTTACCCTTCAGTCAACTTTTGATTTTGCTGCTGAAATGTTTTATTTAATCATTTTCTTTAATTGCTCTCATCCATACTTGTCGTTTCACGTTAATTGTCATCACATGTATTTATTATCTGTACTGATTAGAAGGCTTCAAATCATCCATCGTTGCAGGTCTTTTGGCTGGTGCTCTGGGGAATCTGGACTTTGAATTTCTTGTGGTCACTTCAAATCTAGCTTTTATATGTGCAGCAATTGTTTCTTGGACATGTCATGTTAGGGTTGTTGATGATGAGAACGTATTATGTTAAAAATATTATCACCATTTGAGAAGAAAACAAATGTGTAAATGCAATCTGAGCAATAGACATACTAGATGAAGATGACATTGTAGATTGTGAGAAATTTTTGCCAGATTGCCAAAAAAGAAAAATGACTGATTTGGAAAATGTAGGACCGGACTGGAAACCTATAACCATGACTTTGGCATTGTGTTTTTGTGTAGTGTTTTTGTTAATTATATTATTTGAGAAGGCATTAACAGATAATTGTAGTATGGCCATAGTTGATGTTATAAATCCAACAATTATCTAGCATCGATAATCTTAATGAACTAACTTCCGAACCAGATAAAATATCAGATTGTAGTAATATGCACCGGGGTAGATTGTTTTTAATAACGCGATAGAGAAGTATAGTTAGAAAATTAACTATGAATTGTAAGGTATTTTAAAATAAGTTGTACTCTTTTTCATGTTTATTTTTATTTAATAGTGTTTTAATTAAACAGTCTTCTTAATTATTTTAAAAAACTTTATTAATTATACCGTGTAGTGTTATATTTTAAATATGACATGTTAAAAAAAAAAAAAGAAGTCTTGTAATGCTGAATAGAAGCATAACGCAAGATCACAAGACATATGAGGTGTAAATTCAAATTTCTGAAAACTCCATTAAAAACTGTATTCCAAAATGGTACAGGACCGACCCTGGAAGACCTGGGTGGTTGAATGCACAACCATGTGAACAAACTCACTGCCTCTAATAATACCAAAGGAGAATGACAGGTAAATCTTACGAAGAGTAATTAATTTAAATTAGATTTTAATTAATTTTAAAATGTCAAACTTCAAAAATTTATAAATTCAGCTTTTAATTTTACAATTTCATTGCAATGAATTTATAACTTATTATTCTAATTTAATAGAAAAAATAAATATTTATTTTTCAACCATGTTAAAATTTAAAAAAAATTGTAAATTCATCATAATAAAATTATAAAATTAAGACTCAAGCTTGCAAATTCTGGAGTTTAGCACTTTGAAATTGGTTAGAACTTAACTTGAATTAATCAATCATTTTGAGACCTATCTATTATTTTTTCTAATAACAATAAAGTTGAGTCTAGTGGAAGAGGTTAGTTTTTTACAACATAACAAACTAATGTTTAAATTTTTGCTAGGAAAGATGCTTATATTTGGTGCTTGACAGTATTTCAAATATGATTGTTTTTAATAAAAAGATACATATAAGGGGGGAAAAAACTTCCTCTAATAATTAACACAAACCATTACTCATAATTTAACAATTTGAATTAGACAGAGACATGGTCATGGTTATACTCGTTTGGTGCCTTAAACTACAATATAAAGGCATATGCATGTTCTCCGATTTGAAAGCATTCAAAAGCAACATAGAGGTGAGACTATTCATACATGTCATTGTTGCTAGGTTTAAATAACTAATTTAACTTCATGATATTGTTTCTCTGAGATGATAGAGAGTTACTCCATCCCTCGTTATATTTGTCTTTCGAGAGAGAAATTGTTTTAGACACATTAATTGAGAGGCAGATTTGGTAAAATATACTATATTTTTACATATTTATTGCATTTTTTTAATCGATATACAGCAACGTCAATAGATAAATACAACAAAATGGAAGAAAATCTAGGATACTGTCTTTAGTGTGTTTGTGTTTAAGTTTTTACCGAGATACAAACGTACGTATATCAAGACAACAAAATGATGAAAATAAACCTTTGAATTTTGGATGTATTGCTCAGAAAATAACATACATTTTTTTTTCTTTTCCGTAACAAAAAAAAAAAAAAGATGTTTTGTTTGCAAGAAGAAAGATAAGCCATCCTTTTCCTGGATAGATTGACTTGATCCAACATCTCATGTAACACAGTAATAATGTCATAAGAGATGTTTTATAATATTTAAAAAATATTAAATCTCAAGCTTTTCAAGGAGATGGCAAGTGTAAAAAGTATTTTGACTTCAAGTTTTCAAAGAGTTCAATAATTTTAGAATATTAATGAAATTTAATAACTATAATCAAAATACTGGACTTAAGTCCAAATCCTCCCTTTTTCAAAGGTTACAGTTTGTGCTGGGTGCTAATTCTACCTATCATTGTCAGCACTTTGGAACAAAGTTGAGATTGGATTGTTTGTATTTATATTTTATGACACGCAATTCATAATATTCACACATCATTGGCAAGTTCATCTACAATTTTTTTTTTAAAAAAAGGCATGATAAATTTGTGAGAATGTGAGATATATTTAAGGCATTAGTCTCATTTAAAGGCATGAAATAAACAACTTAATATAGGTACACATATAACGATCATGTGAAGAACCAGCATCTACCAATGTTGGTATATACTTCAAACCAAATCATTGCATTATAAGCAAAATTTTACTTACAAATCTGGCAATTTGGGCACCAAGCCGCTTATGAAAAGACTCCCTATATAGAAAACAACTAAAAACCCAACCCAAGAAGCGTAGCTAAATTATTAAGAGGAGAAAAAAAAAAAAACTATTTCTAGGCAAAACTATTCTGTGTTTTTCTTAGGGGTTTTGGTAGAGACAAAAGTATCTCCTAAACACACCAAAGAGACACACACACACATATATACTTGAGTGGGGTCATCTGAACTCACTGAATATGGACAATTGGACATGTAATCCTAGGACTATGATTGTAGCTACTCTCCTTCACAGAGAAGACGAAGAGATCCACCAATCCAATAGAGGAGAAACTAAGTTGAAACCACTAAAACCTCCAAGCCCTGAACTTCTTTGCAATGACAGGTCGAACATCGTCCACATCGACGAGCGTCTCGAGAAATGGAAGCAAGGACATCAGACAAGAATCAGAAGAGTCGTCAAACCAACTTTCAATTGGAATTCCATTATCAGGCTGCAACCTGAATACCTAAAAACATGAAGACAGACAGAGATTTTCAGTATCTTACGCCAATTATCAAAGCAACAGTGACCAATGATGTATGACATCTGGTCAGTATTTCACAACACGTCTGGAGAAAGCTGTAATTGCCAATTATAACAAAAGAAATACCCAATAGAATAATAAAATTTAGAAAAAATTAATTATTTAATCTCCATAGTTTTAATGCAGTTGTATGAACTTTGACTTGCTGAAATTCATTTTAATTTGATTGTAACTCAATCCCTAATGTTTGACTTGATATAATTTAGTCTCTGTAATTTTAGGAATTTAAAATAGCAGTTCCTATATTTTAGAAAATAAAATTATAAAAAAATTAAACTTTAAAAGTTTTAGTAATTTAAAGTATTAGACCCCAAATTTCAAAATAAATTTAATCTTTTTAATTGTATCTTCTAAAATAAATCAACCAATGTTTTACATGATTAAAAAAGATTGAGTTACACTAAGTTAAAGTTCAAGAACCGAATTACAACCAACTAAAAAGCATGAAAAGGCTTTAACAGAATTGAGATGAGGAAGAAATGCACCTGAGGAGAATTGTCGAGTATAAATACTTTTGCCAGGTCAATGCCGAGAACTGTCAAATCTTTAGTGTACACCTCATCTAATAAGATGCATGAATCCCGGTATCTTCTATCAGAGAAAAATTTTCTATCTGGATCAAGAACATCCAGAAGCTTTTCTGCATAACACCTTTGACTAGCCGTAAAAATGATGACTTCAAAAATCTCTGACACTCTTTCCAAAAATACCTCAAGGAAGGGCCTTTTCCGTACATATATAGTTTGGTCCTTGTTATCATTATCATTGAACTGGATTGTGAAGTCAACGCCATAACATGGCTCCCATGTAGAATGGACTAGTGTTTCTATTGAACCAACAAAATATAGAAGTAACAAGTTATTTAAGATATACATATATACATATCAAAACGTCACAAGAATTTGTTCATGTAACAAAAAACACGTGTTCAACTTTTATGCTAATGCCAATTCTAACTCAGATGAGAAAACATATACTATGCTGGTAATTTACAAAAGCAATCTTATAATAAAGAGGCCTTCCATATTTAAGGAAGAAGCAAGAATAATGCAAATCAAAAGGCAACTTTATAAAGCTTAGACAGTTAAATAAACTCAAGTGGCAATTCTACTATAAAATGTAAAAGCTACTGTGGAGAAAAAAATTATCTGCATCACCAAATATGATCCAAAGCCTAAACATGCATCAGAGTGAGCAGTAATATTGATTTTTTATTGTAATGAAGGTCATAAATCATGATACAAAAAAGACAACAAAGTAACGGCTCTGGAAAAAATTTCACCCAACCATCGAATGGGATTGAACTAATATGATTAATTTTGACTAAACTAAGATGAAGATCGAAGAGGATTTACCATCCAAATCAAGAACAAGGGTATGCTTCTTTTTGCTTGTTTCCTTGCTTACCAGTGCAGGCAATGAATAAGATTCATCTGACAGGTCAAAAAAACTTTTAATAAAGGACTCTGGATCAGAATAATCTACTTCATTGGAATCAATCTGACAGCGGCTGGCTTCAAATTCTTCATTGGATTTAGCCTGATGGCACATGTAGTGAAACCATGTATTATCAGACATCTGCTGAGTCTCTTCACAAGAAGCCCCATAATGGGAATCTGTTGCCTCCATTGTTTTCTCAAGGGAGGGAAAAAGCATAAATCCGTCTGTGGCGTCATATATCAAATTTGTCCCAGAAAATTCATGATCAGAAAAGATACTGTAATTGACGTTATTGCCAAATAAACCTATCCTGTCAGTAGGAATTTCACTGAAACACAGATCATTTATATAGAGGTCTAAGCCATCTAAGACCCCGGGTGTTTGGCAATCAAAGGAGCTATTGTCATCTGCTAGAGGCGCCACAATGGTTTGCTCTCTAACTACTGCAATATGAGACCAAAGGAGGCACACTCGTTACAAATAGAAATGCAATACAATAAATCATAAGTGAAATTATATGAAGCAATATGGTTTAAGGTCAGTAGTCAGCACCTGCATCAAATGGGTTGCAGTGGACGTCAGTGGATCCAGTTGAAGGAGAAGACATCGTTCTATTGTAGGAATAAAACAGGTCAAACTTCTTCAATAGAAAACTCCAAGTTTCAAGCAATCAATTGGTACACAAATGAATTTCTCACTAATTTCCCACAAGAAATGGATTTTAATAAGGTGACAGAAAAAGCCTATATCTCCAAACCCATTTTTCTAAAGCAACGCTCAAGTGCTATCAGTAGTGAGTAGACACAGATGAACTACAGTTAAACATCATAGTTTTCTCGCTCATTCCTGGTCAGAAACCTCAGTTATGCAAAGAAGATCAAGTAACACCACAGGAGAAAGATAGATCACGTAAGTTACACGAACCAAAGCAATTTATATAACTTAATACAAATAAACAACGCAGGAGATTTCTATACACACATGATAAACTAGTCTTAGACTACAACTTGTATTTGAAGGTGCTTATGAAATCATGCCCTAACTTTGATCTAGGTCCAGGGGACCAGCTAACACAGTCAACTATTTACTACTTTCTCACTTTTTCCTTTGATAATAATGTCTGTCTTAACCACGCTCCTCCTTCCAGGAAAATATTAAAATCATGCCCATAAATCATAGTGTGCAATCACTGGTAAGAATGTAAAGTTGGTCATTAACTCCACATCATTATCCCATTTAAGTGGACAAAAATACTACAGTTGACTGTCTTGAGGCATGAATGCACATGACTAAATCCTTTCATAAATCAACATGTATAGGCAAATAGGCAAATGTAATGAGATGAGCCTAACCAGTTCTCCTATTGAACCCAAATCTCCATCAGATGACAGACAGATCTGTGCCAAAGTTACGTCTGCATTATCAGATATTTGGTTTCTATCATTTTCATGCTCCTTAAAAGGTATTCCGTCTCTAAATCCTACAATAGAATGTCCAATTGAATGATGAATTGCTCTTTTTTCAGGTAATGCCCATGAAAACATGCAACAATTCCATGGAATCGGTTGCCTTTATTCCATAACGATTTTACGGAAATATTCTTTCAATTGGTAGACATAAGGCACAAAACTCACCAAGCTGGAGAGTTTGGTTGCCATGTCGAAATCTTTTGGTTGACAAGCTACTTGGACCATGGAGGAAGTCATTTTAGATAATTTATTGGACTATATACTTAGGATAACTTCCATCTCTTGCAGGTGTTTTTTATTTAATTTAAGTGCCAGGACCAAATTCCGGGTTCTGAAAAATGATTAAATTCACTCCATTGTATAACATGGAAGATGCTTCTTGTTTGCATTCAAGTCTATACAGCAACCAAACAAAACAAAAGTACGTACATGCATGAACACAGACACGGACACACATATATATATGTTGCAATTTGGTATAATCTTTTTGCAACATATTTTAAGAAAACATAAAAGTAAGAAAAGTGTTGGCGGATATGTCCATCAGCAAGTTTCATGAAAAAATCAAACAGAAAGTCAACTAAAGATGATGACCGAGATTTAGTTAACTTCAAAAGATCCCTACGAGAAGCCCATTGAAACCCTTTACAATTTCTATTATTTATCACAATTCACCTCAATATCGTTAATTTGCCAGTTCAGTGAATGTCATCCAGGCTAGTGAGTACTCCCAATTCATGGACACTGAAGAGCGCTCATTCAAGTTCACCACTTACCAGAACTCAGCATTCCGACACAAAAGTATTTGAAATCCCGTGTTAAGTTATTTCTAGGCATATCACGCATACACCAAACTCGATTGCAAAACATATCAAGAACAAATTTAAAGCATGACGCTGTATACCAATCTTGAAGAAAATGATTGCATAAAGATTAAAAAATGGGGGAGAAAAGTATATATTTTAATGATTGAATGCAATTCCTTTTTCGTATTTCATTCATCCAGCCCCTTGTTTGAGGATTTTCTGTTTCTTTGCCATAAGCCCAAGATGCAGACAAGTCACGAAACTCTCTAAATCATAAAGATCAAAGAGGCGATTCAACTTAACCCGCTCAGGCCAGAAAAGGAAAAAAAATGGACCAGCAAAAACAAAAAACGACAAACTCCGTGTCAGCTCTATTCACCCTACGAGGCTAGGCCACGATTCCCAATTAACAGTAAAAGTGAAAACACACCATGAGAGAATCAAAATCAAATTTAAATCGACAAGAAACCAAAATCCTCTGCGAAATAAAACGGCCTCGACTTTCATAAAAAGTATCGAATTTCGGTAACCTCGAGTATCGAAAACTCAAAAACAGAGGGGGGGAAACAATTCACCGAAGTTATAGCTAGCAGCAACCCAAAAAGGCAGCGCTATTTCGAAAAACCTCATACAGTGAGACTAAGCAGAGAATTTATCAGAATATTCACATACAAGCACAAACTGGAAAAAGAAGAACACTTACCCTGAGCTGGGACGATCCTTGTCTTCCTTTCTCTCTTTCCCACCCAATTCGGCACTTCCTTCACTCTCTCTTCCTCCGGAGGCAGAGAGCCGAGGCAGAGAAGAAAGAAGGCGTCAAAGGATGACTCTGACGAACTTGTGGTCGTATAAATATACATGGAATTTGGAAGTTCAAATGAAGCGAAGAGGTTCCACCCAAAAAAAAAAAAAAAAAAAAAAGTAGACGAGCTCAAAGATGAAGACGAGCGAACGGCAAAAGATTGATAGTTGATACGAAAATCTAACGGCGGATAGAAGAACACGTAGTGATGGCATGTTACACGTCAGCATCTGTGAAGTCCCGTGTGTGTGGACGCAACTGGCGATGCCAGCAAGAACCAGGAAGGGTCATGTCCCTGGACTCGGAAAAATCCGAGTTTTTTTCGATTTTGACGGAAGAAATCCACTCACACGCACACACGTGCATATGAAGAATATAAAACTGGTGACTTGGAGGGGTCTTTTCTGTCTCGTGACTAGTACCCTTCCTTTGTTCTCATACCTATGCAGGAGGTTTAAAAAAAAAAAATTCGTAAAAAAATATAATATATTTTTAATTAAATTTCAATTTCTATTAAATATATATAATAAATATAAATTCATTTATCAATATGACACTTTTTAAAAAAAATAATAATTATATTTAAAAAATTAAAAATATTTTATATTTTTTAAACATCCAACTCTTTAAAAAATGCTTTATATTTTTGAATGGAGGAAGTAATCATTTAATCTGTATAGGTTTAATTTAATTGCAACTTAATTCTTATAATTTTAACTCAATTATAATTTAATTTTTAAATTTTAATTATTACACCTCAATCTTTATAGTTTTAATCATTTAAAATATTAGTCCATATATTTTTAAGAATAAAATTATGTTAAAATTTGGGACTAATATTTTAAATTACTAAACCATTTTAATCTTATAAAGATTAAATTTTTAAAATATTTTTTATCTTATAATTTTATTTTTAAAATATACGGACTAGTATTTTAAATGGTTAAAACTATAAGGACTAAGTTATAAGAGTTTAAATTTAAGAATTGAGTTACAATTGAATTAAAGTTTTAAAGATTAAGTTATAGTTAAATTAAAATTATGAGGATTAAATAATTAATCTGATAGTATAAGTGACTTTGCCAAAGTTTATGTAGTATTAATTACTTTATTGCTAAAGATTATGATTATAATTTGATTTGTTGTCCGAAATTCTTTTTCAAGAAGGTTGTAGTTGAAGATTTATCATCAATGATTATAATTGATATTTACTCTCTTCTAAACAAATTTTAAACTATGCATAGAACTCTTCTTCAAGTCAATCTTTTAGAGGTTGATTACTGCGTCTCAACTTCTACTTCTAACTTTACCTTGACTTTTGTTTAATTTCTTTTTCCTTGCTTTTTTTTTTTTGCTTCTTACTACTTGCCTTTAAATAAAAAAATACTTTATTCAAAATATGCCCTTCTTCTTTTTATGAATATCAAAATTTTATGGATTTTCATCTTTCTCTTAGCTCTTCATCTTTTCCTAAATAAACTACCATGATTTCACCATTCATGAGATTTATTTTCCACACAAATTTTTGGCTTTTAGTATCCACTATTCCCCCTAAACTAAAATATAGAACATTTGTAACTAATTTACGGTTTTAAAAAATATTAGTTGAAACCTTAATTTTTTTAAAAAATTTTATCCTTTTAATTTTACCCTCATTAAATACCTTATATAAGTACTTTGATAATAATAATTAAAATTTCAATGCATCATTTTTAAAAAAAATTAATAAATGAAGTAGGAATATAATTAAAAAATAATTATAAAAGTTATTCAATGTTTTATATTGTATACTAAGCAAAGATTTTTAAAAATACCTTATATTATAGTTTAGTAGAAATATTTAAAAATGATGAGATTCTATATGACAAGTTGTATCATCAAGACGTCAAATGCCGAGTTATTCAAATAAAGGAAAGTTTAAGGAAAGAAATCTATATCCAAGAGCCTATTATGTGTGTTTGGAGTCCAATTCACCATATTACAGGTGCAATACACACACATGCACTTGGAGGAGGAAAATTGGGTTATAGTTTTGTATATTTGAGCCCAAATGAATTGTTTCACTAGGCCATGGAAGCTCAAGAACGTAAATAGTCATCCAAACCCACATTTAGACCGTCCAGAAGAGTCTTTATAAGGCCCAGGTCAATGATAGAGAAGTATTACCAAGGTGAGGCTTAAGTGGAATAAAAGATTCTTAAATGAAGACACATGGCATGATATAAAGAGTCCAAGATTAATTAGTACTCATTTATTTATTTCAATTATGATTGAAATTCATTTGAGTGTTGGGTGTTATTTTTCTAATTTTTCTTGTATTTTACTAGGTATATTTTTATTATATTTTTAAAATTAGTCATTTATTAAGATAAAGGTCCACTTGTCATTAAATATGGCAATGCACTCAAAAGTAAATAAATTAGGTATAAATTGAATATTTGACACTTTAAAACTTTTTTTATATGAATGCAACACTGGATTAAATTAGTTGGTTCAACTGATAAACCCTCAATTTGGTTTTTTGTTCAAATCGGCCTGGAGCTGATCCAGTCTAACATGGCCTATCTAAAGTTATTTTGGCTAACTTAATGGATTGGACGAGTTATTTGGGTTGTTTTTTTTCTTCCAAACAATTTAGATGTCGTTTTGGATTTTTCTTCTTTTCAAGAAATGCTCACAATGAAAGGGATGGAGTTTTTTTTTTTTTTTTTTTTTGGGGAAAAAGAAAAGAGATGATAAGAAGATTTGGGAAAAAACCATCGAAGGAGGAACAAGAAAAAGCAGAGCAACTAGATATAAAAGCCATGACCTTTTTGGCGTTTTCAACTCGATCTGCAATTTCATCGGCGATTAAGACGATTAGAGGAAGATGAATGCTTCAGGCAAAAGATAAGAGGAAGATGAATGTTGAGAGGGTTGGAGAAGCCGACGCTTGGCTTGAAGAAAAAGGAAGAGAAGGACCTCAATATACCGAGAGCACAATGCCAATTTTAACTTTTAGTCTGACCCACGTTTCTCCAATGACCCACGTTTCCAAGACTTTATTGGGATTGTAATTTTAGAAGAAAAAGCAAATACTACTCGAAGGCTTAAAATAAAATAAAATATCACTCAATTAAATTAAATAATATTTAAAATATTATTATTAACATTAATTATTCAGATTCCTTTCCCATGAATCTACGATTCATAGTAACTTTTATTATATGGTTTTTTCATCTTGGGTATGTAATCTAAATCGGGAATCCTAATATTTTTTTTTTATTTTCAATTATATTTTGATATATGATTTTTTAAATGAATATTATTTTATTTTATTATGACTAGTCTGACTTTGATTTGACCCCTAATTTAACTCTGATTAAACCACTAGCATTGACTCAGTGTCTTGATCAATTCAATTTTTAGTACCTTACTTTTTTCAAAAAATAAAATATAATAGTGTGTTTAAGCAAATTTAAGTTCTAAACTTTATTTATAAGAATGTTAATGTGATTTTCATAATCTCAATGTAAGTGGGAATGATTAAAATCAATTTGTAAGTAAAAGTTTGAGTAAGAGCTTGTAAATATTTCAAATTCAATGTTTAACAAGAAAATAGAGCATAAACTATAGTAGCTGAAAAATATAAAGAGTTGAAGTGAGAGACAATGTAAAATATAATTTATCCTAATTCAGTTTTATCCATTTAAACCTATGTATAGTCTTCAGACAATCACTTGAGATTTTTTCACAAGCTTTCACAAGTTTGAACTAGGTATTTATGGCCTATTACAACCCCTTACTATATATTATATTGAGCTTTTCACTCAAAAAAAAAACATCTTTATATTACAATGGGAAACCTTTCCTTCTCTTTTTACAATGAGAATGATTCACTCAAAAACTCTCCCCTAAAAGTGAAATGAGTATAATTTGACTCTAATACTTGAATAATAAAGATATTAAAGATATTGGCTCAAGAACATTGTTTTTCGTATAATAACAATAGAAAGAATGTAAATATCATAACTCAATGATTTTCAAGCTTAATATCTTGTTAAAATAAGTTTTTAGTATTATAGTTACAGCTTATGAAGCGAAATAATTGTTGGAGATATAATATAACTGTTGGGTTGAGAATGGAAAGAGTTTCTATGGTAAGCACTTTTTTTTTTTGAAAAGTTCATTTAATGTCTATCAAACCTTTAAAGCACATGTTGATCAACTAAAACTTTCATGTTTTAGATGGGCATAAGCAAGCTCCTTTATGACACTCTAAAACTCACATATTTAAGTCAAGTAGAACCACAAGTTTCTTTGAAACTCTAAAACTTGTATGGATATTTTTTAGAACTAGCGTGTTTGAGTAAGACAACATTTTGGAACATAGGGTTTAGGATTTTCATCAAGTGTTTGGCAAACTTTGGTTTTAGATTGAAACTTACAAGGATGGGACGGTTCAGACTCAAATTGCCATTAGGAATATAAAAATCATGTCTATTGGGCTTAAAACTCATGTGGATTAGAGTTAGAATAATTTTAAGGCTAAAACTCACGTGCAAGCAAACTGGATCATGTGTGTATAAGAGACATTACGACATAAAATTGTTGAAGACTATAACTCATTCAAGACACTATTGCAGCTGCCTATTAGGACTGCACTACTGGCGCCAGCTGAGACCAAATAACCTACTTTCATTAAGACTGAACAGCTCGCGACAATAAAGATAGGAATATAGGTGACAATCCAAACTAAATGGTCAAATTCCATAAAGATCGGACCTTCGGCACATACCAAAAGGCCAATTTCCATAAGATTAGAGCATCACTGATAGCTCGACAGGCCCTCAACTTCTATTGGGCTACCTTTTATTAGGACTGTAGCTCGACAATGACTGGGATCATACATCCAACTTTCATCGGAATTAGATGGCTGACTTCCACTAGGATTGCACCACAGGCGACAATTAGGGCCAGACAGTTGACTTTTATTGGGACCAGACGGTAGACTTCCACCATGCCCGAAATAACGACGATGACTGAGATAGGATAACATACTTCTACCATGACCAGATTGATGA